CACAAAACTATTCCTCCAGTTTTGCTGAGTTTGAAGTTATTTTTTCTTTTTTTTGAGACAGGGGTTTCACTTTGTAGTTCTGGCAGACTTTAAACTTACCATGTAGCCCAGGCTGGCTTCGAATTCTAGGTGAGTCTCCTGTCTGAAGTTATTTCTAAAGAGAAAGTTAAAAATATATTGTTTACAGTAGTGCCAAGTGCAAGAATCAATCATAACAAAGAGCTTTGTGATATCAGATAGTCACTTAAAGTTTTCCTTAACATAAACTGAACTGTTACTGATTTGACTTCTCCTAACTCAAGGGTGGAGGGCTTGATAACTGTGTTGAGTCACACATTTTTGACCTTTAATTTTTTTTTATACCTATAAGACAGAGTAGTTCTTTGCACAAGTTACTGAGCATTTTCATTTAGGTTAGAAATATGAATCATAAAGGTACACCTGATATTTTATTCCTCCTTCACACTTGTAAGTGTGCATTGATTTGTCTGTGTTTTGTGGTTTTTCCATGGTCTTACTGTGTAGCCCAGGGTATCCACCAATGCTACATAGCCAAGCTGGCCTCCCAGGCTTCCTGCGTGAGCTTCCCAAATGCGGGGATTATAGGTGTGTACGACCACATCTGGTATTTGCCTGTCTTGTAGTGCAAGGTGTCCTTATTAAGAAAAGGCCCACAGTTAGGAGCCCTGCATCATCCCTCTTGCATAAACCATAATACAGGATCTACCACTTTTAGCTTATTTTTTTAATAGAGTGAGAATTAAAACACTAAAGTAACAATGTGAGCCAGAATCCTTTTTTTTAACAAATCTTTCTACCACCTAACCTTTTACTGTTGTAATTCTCAGACTTCACTTGATATTTATTTATTTATTTATTTATTTTTTGGTTTTTTGAGACAGGGTCTCACTATGTAGGTGAAACTGACCTTTAACTCACTATATAGCCTAGGCTGGTCTTGAACTCAGTGATCCTCCTGCCTCTGCCTCCAGAGTGCTGGGATTACAGGCGTGCACCACCATGCCCGGGTAGACTTCATTTGATCTTAAGAAATGTTTATCTCATCCTTACTAGGGCTTTTCAAAGGATTCAATTTAAATTTTGTAGAAGCAGTAATAGTGTTGTAGCCATCAGTCTTTTCTGTACATTTTAATTATATCTCATAATGGCTCGACTCATATATAAAAACTGGATTGGAAATACATAGCATTGACTTGCTAAGCTTGAGTTAGTTTGCCTGGTACTTGGATGTAGTAGACAAATCCTATTTATGAGGGCATACGTGGGCTTTCTCAGGGAGCACATTGTTCCTGATCTGCTTAGGCAAAAGGTAATTGAAAAAAAAGATGACTAAGAGCTTTTATAGAAGGCCAGTAGGAATGAATTGCTACAAATGGCTCATTTAGTAATCAGACTCAGTGCTACAAAGTGAATTTTGAGTCATTCAAGTTAATTTCATTTTTTCTTTTCTTTCTCTGTGTGTGTGTGTGTGTGTGTGTGTGAGAGAGAGAGAGAGAGAGAGAGAGACAGAGAGAGGGAGAGAGAGACAGAGACAGAGACAGAGACAGACAGAGACACACAGACAGACACAGGGTCTCACCTTGTAGCCCAGGCTGGCCTTGATTTGCAGTGATCCTCTTGTCTCAGCCTCCAAGTGTGGGGTTACAGGTGTGCATATGCCTGCTGATTCAAGTTGATTTCATTAAGATTACACCAAAGAAATGCTGAGCATGATGTTGTACACCTGTCATCCCATCACTCGGGAGGCAAGAGGAGGGTTTGAGGCCAACCTGGACTACATAGAGAGGCTGAGGTTAGCCTGGCCTACATAGGCTAGATCTTGGTCTTAGAAATTATGCCACAGAACTGATTATTAGGAAATATTACTAAGCCGGTCACACACAGAGACAGAGACAGAGACAGAGACACACAGACAGACACAGGGTCTCACCTTGTAGCCCGGGCTGGCCTTGATTTGCAGTGATCCTCTTGTCTCAGCCTCCAAGTGTGGGGTTACAGGTGTGCATATGCCTGCTGATTCAAGTTGATTTCATTAAGATTACACCAAAGAAATGCTGAGCATGATGTTGTACACCTGTCATCCCATCACTCGGGAGGCAAGAGGAGGGTTTGAGGCCAACCTGGACTACATAGAGAGGCTGAGGTTAGCCTGGCCTACATAGGCTAGATCTTGGTCTTAAAAATTATGCCACAGAACTGATTATTAGGAAATATTACTAAGCTGGGTGTGGTGGCACGTGCCTGTAATCCCAGCACTTGGGAGGCTGAGGCAGGAGGATCGCTGTGAGTTTGAGACCAGCCTAGGGTCAGTCTCAACTACATAGTGAGACCCTGTCTCAAAAAAAGAAAAAAAAAAAAAGAGGAAATATTACTGGGAAGGTACAAATATGTGTGAATGAAACTTTTGATTCACACTTATTACTTGTATACCAGATTTCCTTACCATTTGCCATTGTTATAAATTCATATTTTATTCTTGTTATTGTTGCTTTCTTTTTGAGAAAAGGTTTTGCTTTGTAGTGCAGGCTGGCCTTGAACTCACTTTGTAGCTCAGACTGGCCTCAAACCTGTGTCGATTCTCCTGCCTCAGCCTCCTGAGTGCTGGGATTATAGGCGTGCACCATCACTCCTGGCTGTATTTGATCATTGTGTCAGCCACTGGTTTACAGATAATGAACACTGCTTTGGTTAAGTTCAGTGGAAAGGGATTTGATATGGTAGCTAGGGGCTAGGTAGAGTATGTTGGAGCCAGGATGTCTCCCAGAACACACTGCAAGAGGGCCTTTCCAGGCAACTGCTGTGTGTGTTACAGACAAGAGGCTGAAGGGTAAAGGTCCAGACTCAGATACTGGCTGAGATCTGGGGAGTGGGAGATTGCTGTAGAGTCTGTCCTGTGAACATACCATTTCAGTTGTGATCCAGGGACCAGGAACAGTGCTAGAAATGCTACTTCTGAGACAAACTGTCAGATCTATTTCAGGGAGAAGGACACTTTACAGGTTTTTACCTCTCTCCTCACTTCTGCATACTTCTGGAGGTTAGGTCTCTTGAGGTTGGAAGGATACACGTCATTATCTGTAGTCTTTTGCAAAATAGGCCTCAGCTCTCCAGTCTCTAGTCCTGTGATGATGCAGACGCTCAAGCACCTCCCCTGTGATGTGCATTAACTGATGGTGCAGCCATGCTTCCCCCAGCTGCCACTTCCTTCTCAGTATTCTTCTCTGGGGCTATGCAGTCTCTCAACCCTTTCTGCTTATCTTTTCTTGTTCTCTGCATGTACAGAAAGTGGACAGTGACTGCTATAGCCCTCACTGCAGTCTGTCTGTTCCCCGCTTCTTGACTTCCCAGGGACAAATTGAACAAGCTCAGATCAGTTATATGGTGGTCTGTAGACGTGGCTGCTTCTACTCCACTTCTATAGGTGGAAGAGTGCCTTGGGGGCAGGAACTTTCTCTGCAAGTTACAAGAGCTAAGTTGCAGTCATTATTTGGAGTAGTTATGTACCATAAAGCCATCATGAACAGTGAGTAAGTGAATATTGAAAGTGTTCCTAGAAGGGATATAGGGTTGAATGTTTCGCTGTGTTACTCTAAACTGCCCTCTCCCAGTTTCCTCACTTCCATCCTTGTTTGTTTTGTCACAGCCTGAATGTGACTTAGACAGAGGGAGCCAGCCTGCTTCTCTGCTTCAGGTCCCCCTGAAGACTTGCTTAGAGGGCAGAGGAGTCATCTCTTGGAAGGGGAATGTGCGTCTGAGTTCTGCGAACTGGAAAGGTGAAGCCCAGGGTCACTGCCGACCCACTCAGTCAATGCCAAAGTCCTTTTCTTCCAACTCTCTCATTTCTCAGCCTTCTCCATCTTTCTTACTGATTTCTAACTGTACTCACCTCTTCTCCTCCCTTCCCGCCCAGTGCTGGGATCAACCACTCTACTACTGAGCTATACCTACAGTTTTAAAAATTTTTTTGTTTCAAGTGAAAGTCTGACTCAGTTGCCCAGGCTGGCCTTGAACTTGAAAATGTCCTGCCTCAGCCTCTTGAGCTGGGAGTAAAGGTGTGCACTGCCCTGCCTGGCTCCTTGCTGTTTTCTGGAAGAGCCCTAGAGGCTCCACCCTTGCTGTTGCCGCAGGCTGAACTATTCCTGATACCCTTGTGATCAATCCCTCCTTTGGGCCTCTCCTGCATATGTCCTCCACTTCCTTTGTCTCCTCTTTTGACACAACCCTTCTTTTTGCTCTGGTTTCTTCTTCATCACCTTCACTGCTTATTTATCATCTGCTTCACTCCTTTAACATGGGAGTTTGTTTCATTCCCTGTGGAGTGTAGTCCATCACTTTGTTTTCTTTTCCCTTTCTCCCTCTCTCCCCTCCCCCTTGTCTTTCTCTTTCTTTATTGGTATCTTTGAGACAGAATCTTGCTATATAGTCTAGGCTGGTCTTCACCTCACTGTAGCGCAGGGTGGCCTTGAACTTGCAGCAGTCCTTCTGCCTCAGCCTCCTGAGTGCTGGGATTACAGATATGCACCACCACTCAGGTTCAGTTTCTTCTTTAGTGGCTTCTTTCTCTGCCCCCCTTGTACTTTGGCAGAGGTTGAAGGTGGGCTGCTGCCTTTCATGTACCAAGTGTTCCTACCTAGATAATCTGTGGGCTTCTTCCCATATCTCACTGCTCAGATTCCTTCTGTTCTAATATTCTCATAAGCTTGGCTCATAAGCCAAGCAAATGAATCTGTTTTTTAAGTAACTTTCCTGTGTTTGGGACTGGCGGTTTCCTTTTTCTAAATTTGGTATCAGATTATGTGAATACTTTAACATTTTGGTACTTGTGCCTTCTATTAGCAGACAAATTACTGCAGCAGATACTGAGGCAGGGTGGGTGCCAGGCTGTAAGCCAGGGTCTAAAGAGATGGAGAGCCTGCCTTTCCCTTCTGAGCTGACAGACACCAGACAGTTGGGAGAGGTAACAGCAGCAGTAAGGGAGACAGAGAGGTGGGTGTGAACATGGGGGACTCCTCAAGCCTGGCCAGAGGGCTGGGCGGAGATGCCAGGTGAGAAAGCCATCAAGGGCTGCTCCAAGGGGAGGGACCTTCCGGGGAGTCACAGAGAGCTTTGCTTGCTCTAGAAGCACAAGCCAGTCAGTACTATTGGAGTGCATGGGTGGCCTTCTGTGTTTGACCGTTTTACATCAGCGTATTCAACCAGTCATGGATCAAAGGTATTTGAAAAAACACTTTCCAGTCTTACTGAACACTTGCAGACTTTTTTCTTTCCATAATATTGTAGATAGGTAAGTTATAGATAACTTGCAGGTAGTTAGACAGGGCTGCCCTCAAGGCCCCAGCCCTCAACAACAGGGGGGGGGGTAAACTGAGGCACATTCACAGGTTAGCTTTATAAAAAAAAGAGGCACTGCTTCCCTTAGAGACAGCAGTGATTGATATCCTAAATGGGAAGCTCCTGGTATGTGACTTGTTTTCCCATTTGAGCCCCATTTAATCAATATTACCTGGGTGACTGTACTTGAAATCTTATTGGTTGGTCGTGGTTTTGCCCCACCTCATGCCCGCTGTGTAACCTTCCATTGGGTCTTATAGTTTTGTTTCACTTTGTACCTGTTTCACCTTGTGGCTTTGATGTATAAAACACCTTTTAAAAGTGGGATGGGCAGGCAACTCACTTTCTGGTTCCCTCTTTGTCTCTCTTAGAAACTTTCTCTCAATAAATTTTTCCTATTCTTAACCTCTGTTGTTCCTAGATTTCATTTTTTGATTTTTGAGAACTCCTGTTTTGGATACCTAGGAGGTTGGGGAGTTGCATGTGTACCACATATATCAATAATTCTATAAAGAATTAGAGAGAAAAGGGGAAGGGGAAGTGAGAATTAAACTGGGTGTGGTAGTGCACACCTGCCATTCCAGCCCTTGGGAGGCTGAGGCAGGAGGATCACCATGAGTTTGAGGCCAGCCTGGTTATGTAGTGTGCTCAGTGTTGGCTATATAGAATGAGACCCTGTCTCAAAAAAAAAAAAAGAATTGAGATGTGTTATGTCCATGTACCAGCTCCCCATGATGAATTAATCATTATGTACTGCAAACATGTACTAATAAAAATTAAAAAAAATTTTTTTGTACTGGGGATTGAACTCAGGACCTTGTGCTTATGAGGCAGGCATGGTGCCACTGAGCTAAATCCCCTATACAAAAAAATTAAAAATATTCTGTGAAGAAAATATAAGAACTATTAATTTAGTACTAACATCACATTAGACATTAAAAATCTAGAGATATTTAAAGTCTATGGAAGGATATGTGTACGTTATATGAAAATACAGTGGCATTTCATATAAAGGACTTGGACATTGTTGGATGTCATTGTCTCGGGAAGTCCCAGAACAGTGATGGCGAACCTTTTAGAGATGAGTGCTCAAACTGCAACCCAATACCCACTTGTTTATCACAAACTCCCAGCCCTGCAGTTAAACCGGAAAAAATAAAATAACATCTTTTATCTTAAAAACAAACACAATAGAGTTTTTCAGTGATACAAATGACCTTTTATTGAAAGGTAGAAGTTTGCATGTGGTGTCCTGTTGCAAGATTACTGTGACCTTTGCTGTCTATGCATGTTGATACTTTGTCAAAAGGCGGGGGCTCACACTTTGTTAGTTTGAGCCAACACATCCAGCACTCAGGTCTCCTGTCAATCTGTTTTTTGTATCATTTGATAGAATTCAAAGCTAAAAATAGCTGCTCACAAGCATAAGATGCTCCAAACAAAGTAAGAAAAGAAAACCTGAGTCCTTTTTAAAAGCATTGACTCTATTTGTCAGTGAATTCCACATAAAGATTTCATTTTTCAGAACTACCAACTATGCTGTCCTTAGTCATCCCTTCATACTCTGTCTTCTCAAGTGTTGCATGCAGATCATATTTTTCCACTTAGAGCTTTCTGAAAATTTCAATAGCTCCATTTCCAGATTTCCAAAATCCAAGCAGTGAAAGCAGGAATGAACGAGTTCTTCAAATTTGGCTTTGTCTGGAGAACTAAGAAAACAGAGTTGTCTCCCATCTTATGGAACTGTAAAAATCTGTTACTAAAATTCTCCTTTGTAGCTACTATAATGCTAGAAAATTCCTTGTAGGATTGTCTGCAAATGTTGCAGAATTTTCTAAATGTATTTTTAGATTTGGAAACTATTTTATTTTATTATTATTATTTTTTTGAGACAGGGTCTCACTATGTAGTTGAACTCACTGTGGAACTCACTTTGTAGCTCAGGCTGGTCTCGAAATCACAGTGATCCTCCTGCCTCAGCCTCCCGAGTGCTGGGATTATAGGTGTGTGCCACCATGCCTGGCTGGAAAATATTTTACCTTCCCACTTTCAAGATCTGTTTCAAAAACCTAAAGTTTTCTATCAAATGTTTTGATATCACAGAACATCCTTTCTACACTTTTCCCTGTACTGTGTGGTATTTTTGTTCAGTGCACTGAAGTATGGTGTAAAATCTGTAAAAATCATGAGATGGTTAAATCAGACTATCAGTGAGCTGTGGCTATTCTTGCTGTTTTCCATTCATAAACAGCCTAATTTCATTGAAGCAGGCTATGAATCTCTCCAGGACTCATCCTCTGCTCAGCTATCAGACATTATTGTATATAAGTAAAGTATTATACTATGCCTGAACCTCATTAAGAAGTGCTTGGAACTGTGAAAAATTAAGAGCATGAGACTTGATGTAATTCACTATTTTGGGGATGTCTTTGAGGATATTGTCTGATTTTTTTTTTTTGCTGCTTTTCCTGACACAAAGAGATTCGTGATAATACGATAGAGTGAAAACCAATGACTGGATGTTTTGCTTCTTTAAGAACTGTATGAAGCTTTGCTATGCAAGGTCCCATCATTAGTAATTGAAACCACTTTTTCTGGTCTTACGTCTTATGACAAAAAAGCCTCCATCACAGCATTGTTGATACCAATCCCTTGTATTTTTCCAGGCAAAGACACCAGTTTCATGAGCTCTTCTCTCATGATGTCACCAACAGCATAACACAAAATTACTCCTAGCCTTGAGTGATTATTTATATCTGCGCTTTCATCCAAGCACATGGAGTAACAGGCTGCCCTTTGTAAATCAGTGGTGAGCTGCTGACTAACATCACTTGCCACGTGCAGGACCCAGTCCTTAACAGTATTTCTTTCTGCTAAGTGGCATCTCAGAGATATAATTTTATCCTTGTTTGGGAGATCATGAAAAAGGGAATTACTCCCAGACAACATGGCCATTTTGATAAAATCCCCACCAGAGAGGAGCTTACCATGCTTTGTTATGCACAGTCAAATTTGAAAGCTGGCACCTGTCAGAGATGATTTGATTGGTGTCAAAGTATGGTCTGACAATTGATGTCCAATGCACAACACTTTAGTGACACAGAATATGTAACAGTTTCCCATTGTGTTCAGTCACTCTAAATGACTCTGTCTAAGCCTCTTGGAATAATCTCCAACTGTCTTTTTTCAGTTTTTCTTTTTTTGCTGTGATCATTTTTTGGTGTTTAAGACTACAAAAACACAAAATTAGGAAAAAATGAAGCACCCAATACAGTGGTACCTTGGTTCATGAACTTAATTCCTTCCATGATTCTGGTAGCAAATGAAACTGGATGAGAACCAAATTTCAAATTTCCTCATAAGGTCAACACTGAACCTAACCATTGAAGTTGAATTGTTTCTCATCTAATTCAGTTTGAGATTAGAACTGTGGAAAGAATTAAGTTCATGAACTGAGGTACCACTGTACAAATCTATCTATCCCTATACCAAAAATAGCTAACAGTATTCATTAACACTAATGAATTTGATATTTCTTGTCAACAATCTATGGCAGTGATTCTCAGCTGGGGTTCCTCTTGAATTTGCTGACCACTGGCGCAAGGGAGCAAGCTGGCTGACCACCAGCTTTTGGCTTGCTCTGTTTGAAAAAGGCATCTGAGTGCATTTCCTACCTTGTGGGGGCTTCTGCTAAAATGACAGCCAGTCCAAGCAAATATATATGTATATCCTTGCTCTTCTCATAAATTCTTCACAAACAACTAAATATGATGCTGCAAATTCAAATATGCCAGGGGGACAGCACAACATTAAAAGAATCTCAGTTTCTTAATTAGAACATCCATATGCTAAATCTTAGATATTAAATTTCAATTTTTTCATAAGAAAAGTCAAAGCTAAAATCTTATGTTTATACAGAAGACTGTATTAAAACTCACAGCCAGTCCAAGCAAATATGTATATATCCTTGGCAGCACAATGACCGACCACATGGAAGCTCAGATGAGTTACAGCTAATGAATCGTGGCTCACGATGTCCTTGCCTGGTGCCACTACTTTCTGAGCTTGATCATACCCTCCCTGCGCGCTGCTGTCTGATTCTCAGCTGCTGTGGTGATGCTGGGGCATCTTGGCTTGTGTGCTGAGAGAGAGGGCTCGGTGTGTCCACCGCGGCATGTGTGCCATAGGTTTGCCCGCACTGTCCTAGAACCAGTGCTCTGTGGGTGCTGAAAAGTGTAGGCAGTGATGGTGGATGAGGCGGTAATAGGTAAGCAAGGGCCAGGTTTGGATGTTTCTAAGGAACTGTGTGCTTATTATTTAGAATGGAAGTTTTGTTCTGTAGGCCTCGATTTGATGTGTGCACCTGTTTGTGTGAACGAATGCTGGCTGGGAAGTAGCCTGCAAGATTTTCTCTTTGCATGCTCCCTTTCTGAGGCAAGGAGAATCTAGACTGTTTTCTGCTGTGAATTTGCTAATGTATCTCCATGCAGATGATTTTCTTCTAGTGGGTGGCACACTTCAGTATTTGTGATCCATACAGTGCACTGTAAGAGGCCTGCTTTTGTAAGCTAAGTGAATGAAGACCACATCACTATCTGCTTTAACTTCTTATTGTATAACACGCCCTCCCCTTTATCTGTCCTGTTTTTTCACTTCCCAATTTTCCTGTCAGGAAAATTTAAATTATTAAAAGAAAGAAAGAAAGAAAAAGAAAAGGTACCAGGTATTACATGCCTTGTAAACCCAGCACTCTGGGAGACTGCAACAGGAGGACGATGTATTTGAGTTTAAACCAGGCAATTTTGTGACTTAGGCCCTATCTCAAAATAAAAAGTAAGGGCTAGGAATGTAGCTTAGTGCAAAGGCCTTGGGTTCATCCCCAGTACTGGAAGGGAAAAATAAATAAATAAAATGAAAACTGTGTTCCAAGAGGATTTGTGGTTTGAGTTATCCGGTGCCAGGTCTGATTATTAAATCTGGAGGTGGTGTGGGCTGGGACTTTTTTATTGAAGTCACTGTGGTGCCTCCTACTTACCTTTGCTTACTTGTGTCGGGCACACGTTAGGTGCTCAATATACATTTGTTGAAGGAACTATCCCATTCACGGAAAGCAAGATTAGGCTCATGTTTTTGTAACAAAGCATCATTTATTTGTATTTTTTGTGATAGAGTCTTAGTGTGTGGTATAGACTGGTCTTGTACTCACAATGTAGTCTAAGCTAGCCTTGAATGCGTGGTCCTCTTGTCTCAGCCTGCCAAATGCTGAGATTACAGGTATGCACCACCACAGTTGAGCCTAATCTTATGTAATATTGGCATCTGTGCTCCAGACAAACTAGTCTCCTCTCTTACTGCACTATTCCCATGTATCTCTAATGCCTGGAGTTCTTTCTCTTGTCTGGCTAGCTGCTATACTTTAAGGGTAAAGAAAGGGATGGCAATTTCTGATTTATCCAGGAAGAGTTGGTTTTTCCTTCCTTTATACATTTTTCCTTTCCTTTTTGTTTTTTAATTTTTTGAGACAAGGTCTTGCTGTAGTTCAGGCTGGACTTGAACTCACCATGTAGCCCAGGCCGGTCTTGAACTCACAGTGATCCTCCTGCCTCAGACTCCTGAGCACTGGGTTTGCAGGTGTGCACCACCATACCCAGCTCCTGTGTACATGACAGTATTGAAGTTTGTTCAGCTTCTGTGCAGTAAGTGTGGAAATTGAAGAGATACCTTCCCCTTTTCTGTCTCAGTTTTGATGAGTGATCGATGTGTAATTGTTATAGGAAGGCATGCTACAACAAGCTGAAGAATGGTGGGGTCCACTCTTTGGCTAGGGATGTTGAACATCTTCTGAGCTTGGGCAAGGTTTCTACAGGCGTATGTGTGAGCGCAAGAGCCTTTCAGAACACAGGAGTGGCATTTCTTGTGAAATTGAAATGCTGGAGAATTCATTTTTACTCTGAGGAATGCCTTTTTGCTTTGAGGAAGTTGGCAGTAGAGCCAGGTCAGTGATTCAGTGCAGGAATAGGAGCTTGGCAGGGGATGACTTGTCGGGAGGACAGGAAGGGATGTGGACTCTCCCCAAGAATGGTGGAAAGGAACTGTACGTAACTGAAGGAGCGGAGCGCCTCCTGAGGGAGTTTAAATGCTACGTGGGAGGAAAGGGACCTGATCTGAGTGAGGCATATATAATTCAGTGCTGACGGCCTTATCCTCTTCCCTGCAGGGCTGACCCAGCATCATGGAGGTGGTGGAGGCAGAGAGTCCCCTGAACCCCAGCTGTAAGATAATGACCTTCAGACCCTCCATGGAAGAGTTCCGGGAGTTCAACAGATACCTCGCATACATGGAATCTAGAGGAGCCCACCGAGCCGTCTTGCCAAGGTGACTATGCTCCCGGAAAAGATCCTTTGGCCTTGAACGGATGCTCTTAGTGTGCACGACACGGGTCTCTGTTTCATCCACAGCAGCACGGTTGTTCTTCTGATCCATGTGGAGCACTGTGCTTTCTTGAAGAGTAATTATTTTATTTCAAGTCTTTATACTAGGTTGTATTCTAAGGTGGCTGCTGCTGCTACTTTTCTTTAAAAATCAAGGGTAGTTGTTAGAACCAAAGAGATCCATGGATGGGCTTCAGCGGTATGAGGTACTCATTCACAGTTTTCATTCAGGTCTCCTAGAAGATAATCATTACCCTGAAGCTTACCTACTAGTTCCCTTACTAGTCCCCTTTTCTCTCTGCCTTCCTACTTTCTTCTGTGGGGTGTGTGTGTATGTGTGTGTGTGTCTGTTTTTGAGACATGGTCTCACTGTGCAGCCAGGCTGGCTTCAAACTCATGGTGATCCTCCTGCCTCAGCCTCCCGAGTGCTGGGATTA